GTATTAAATAATAAATATAAGAGTGATTGAAAGAACGATAATAATATTTTTTTAATATTTAATTAATATATAATTTAATTAATTAGATATTAATTGAGAAATTAAAATTAAATAAATTATTTCTTTTAAGAGAGTTTATATAATTTGGTGGTCTTCACACAATTTCTAGAGGTGTTGGTGGTCTTAAACGTAAATGACATTTTTGACCGTAGAAAATAGAAATACGATGCATTTGGTTTAAATTCAACCATATTTCAATCTCTTTCTAGAAGATGTGGAACATTTCCAATTTTCCATCCCATTGGACTAGCTAATGTTGAAGTGTTTTTCTCGCCAAAGTTTCGTAATAATCTAAATTTTCCTCGCCAATTACAAAATTTGGATGAGGATTGAGGAGTGAGGACTAATGGTGTTGAAAACTTTGGTCAAACATAATGTGGTTTTTAATTCTTATATATATATATATATATATATATATGTATGTATGTAAGCACTACTTCATAAAAATTCTTACAACTTACAAGCTAATTATTTCCGAGAAAAAAAAGGAGTTGGGAAATGTATCTTATTTCACAAAAAAAAAAAAAAAAAAAAAAAAAAAAAAAAACACACACACACACACACACACTGAACTCTAAAACAACTTTCACGAGAAAGATTATAAAACAAAACAGAAAAGAAATGCTTGCAGAAAACACAAACACATCCCTTAAAAAATAAAGACAAAAGAAAAAAAAAAAAAGAAAAAACACTAGAAGAGACTTTGATCTTATGCGGATAAGGAGATTTTGATAGAAAATATTTCTGTCTATGCATAAAGATTAGAGATATGGAATTTTTACAAGGGGTATGAAAAAAATGGAGAGAAAGAGGGAGATAGGTTAAGACTTGAGATTAATTAAAATTAATAGGCTAATAGTTTACATAAGTTAATAAATAGACTAAATTACTATTTTCGTCCATAACTTGTCTGGTTATGAACCATAACTTGACAAGTTATTGTCCATAATTCACGGTTTTTGTCCATAACTTATCTGGCTATGAACCATAACTTGACAAGTTTGTTCATAACTTATCTAGTTATGAACCATAACTTGACAAGTTATGGCCTATTTATTTTTATAACTAAAAATTGGCCTATATACTTTTTTAAGCTTTTCATATTGGCATATTTTTTACTATTTCCAAAAAAATGCTTTAAGTATGGGCTTTGTTTTGTTGGACTCTTGGTAGTTCATCTACAATTAAACTATGGGTAATTTTTTACTTTTCAACCGTCATATATGTATAATAATTTATTTATTTTGTATGTTTGTTTTTTTAACTTAATGTGATTTTGACAAGATTTAACAATTAAAAACTTAAATTACGGGTAGAACGAAGTATTAGAAAAACTCTCATATTTTGCATGTTTTTCTATTTTGATGTGATTTTTATAAAATTTTGATACTCAGAATATACACGGTCCAGTAGAAAGTTTGTAGTGTAACCTTTATAGGAGTAAATACATTATGCACACTTTTTTTGTCATATATTTGTTAAAATAGAATAGATTTTTGTTAATTCGAGTAAAAAAAAAAAAAAAAAGATTTACGTTAAGGGACTATTTTTCGTAGTCCGTTTACTGATAGTCTCTATTGTTAACTGTTAGATCTAGTTAAAATCATATCAAATTAAAAAAATATGCATAACAGATATATTATAATACAGATCTGATGACTGAAAAATAAAAAACTATCAATAGTCTATTTTTGTAAAGAATACCAAAAAAAAGTCTTTAAATATAATATAGAGGGTTATTTTCATCCGCCAGCTCAAGTTTGCACATTTTTCATAGTGTACCCTTTCAAGGGAATTTTATTTCCTTTTTTTTCTTAATCAATTATTTTCTCTTTTGCTCGAAGATTTCTTTGGGTGATCTTATAAACAGAAATAAATTTTTTTTTTCTTTGCTAAGAACTAAGACATAAATTAATTATGAATGTGTGTGTGGTCGTGTAGTTTGGATAGTAAAGAGCTCTCATATAACGGTACTCTCTCACTCTGAAAAAAGTTTAAGGTGAGGAGGAGAAAATGAAATCAGAGATTCAAATGCTAATAAATTTGAATGATTTTTTTAAAATTATTTTTAAGAAAACAAAACGGGTTTGGTATGACCCGCCCCCACCCGCACTGGGCACCATTTACCGTGCTCCATTGACATCCCTAAGACTCTTCGTCGATTAGAAGAAGATAGAGCCCTCGTGGACATAATGAATCTTGGTGCCGTCTCCTCCATCACAGTTTTGGCATGGAGAAGAACGAGTGCAAAGAAGAATACATAAAGGCAGAGTTGGAATTTTATTTTTCTTTTAAAAAAATACTTCTATTCTTTCACTTCATAAAAGTCTTGCTATTAATGTCCATTACTTTATAAATACCTTCCATTGGTCACATGTGGATATATTGTGTTTTGAAGGGAATTTGTGGGAAAGCTTATTAACACGCTTTTTTCCTCAAGGAAACTAGTCCTTTAAGCCTCAAATTCATAATTTTTATTTTTGCCCATACTTTTTTTTTTATTATTTCTTTCTTCGGGATACATTGTGATATAATATGTTTATAGCGTGTTTAGTTAATAAATTTGAACATAACTTCAATTTTTTTATTTATGAGAAAGAGGTTTAAACTGTGGGCGTATTGTAATGACGAGAGGATTCTTCAAGAACATTTATCAAAAAAATACCTAAAACTGTTATATTTTATACCATATGGCGTAACAATACTTAAAAGAAGAAGTCTAAAATACAGTCAAGATCTCTCTCTCCATCAACCCCCGCCGTTGGGATCTCTCTCTCCATCATCCCTCATCGGCAGGATCTATCTCTCCATCAGCTCCGCCGTCGGGCATCCTCCACTACCACAAGATATTCCTCAAGGAGACACCATCCTCGGGCCACATGACTCGTTGGTGGTGACATCGTTTTCTTCCATTGTTTCTTACTGAGATTTGTGTTTTTTGAAAGTGATTTTTTTTTTGTGATTCTGGTGAAATTGTGAGTATGTAGTGAGAAGACTGCCGCCATTGCTGGTGATTATCAGCCGATATCTCGACTTGGATACCGTCGATAACAGCCCAGGATACTACTAGTTATTGGCCGGTATTATCATTAGATATCAGTAATTTGGAGGGATTTTGTGATTTTTTTTTCCTTTTGGTGGTTTTTTAGTATTCCGGCGGCAGGGCCGCAGCCTGTAACAGTGGTGACTGGTAGCTACTGGACGGTAATCATGCGGTATCTGGGCGAATACTACTGCCAATACTGACGGTAGTCTGCTGGATACTGTCAGTATCTCGGTTGGTACTCTTTTTGTGGCAAGATGCTAGTGAGTATCTCTGGTGAGTAGATACCGACATATATCTTAAGGATATATTTAGGGAAAATAGTATAAAATAGGCCAATATGAAAAGCTTAAGAAAGTATATATGCCAATTTTTAGTTATTAAAATTAATAGGCCATAACTTGTCAAGTTATAGTTCATAACCAGATAAGTTATGGATAAACTTGTCAAGTTATAGTTCATAGCCAAACAAGTTATGGACAATAACTTGTTAAGTTATGGTTCATAACCAGACTAGTTATGGATGAAAACAGTAATTTGGCCTATTTATTAACTTATGTAAACTATTGGCCTATTAATTTTAATTTATCTCAAGTTTTGGTCTATTTCCCTCTTTCTCCCTATATTTAGAGATATTTAAAGTCTGTTTAGTTAACTGATTCGAGTTTTTAATTTGAGTTTAGATGTGATTTTATGAGATTTTTTTATTATAGTAAAAAAATTATATGTCATTATTTTTGAGAGTTTTTTATTGTAATAAAATTTAAATTTTAAACTGAAATTAATAAAGTGAACGAATGCTTAGTATTTTAAATATAGTGTTATGACGTGATTTTAGTATTTTCTTAATAGTTTATGTTCCCATGTATCAATCTAAATGCAGAACTTGTGGCGATTCCTTTTAAAGCCCATTCTTCAAGCCCTCTGAAACCTTAATGTGCATGTCTTCTTGAAGAAATGAAAGCCCACTAACCGTTTCAACAGTAAAAGCCTTGGGGTTATACGCCTTGTTTAAGTTGTGGGCTTTTTTAACGGAAGAGGCAAACATTTTTGGGTAATTTTTACAAATTGTTAATTCTATTAAGGATTTTTAGCTTTTAATATTAACTTATTAAATTTTGCCTATTCAGAGTAAGTAGTTTGGTAGATTATTATTTATAATTTGATGGTCACGGGCGGCGAGTCTTCGACTGCGAGTGGCATGTGTAATTTGACAAATTATTATTAAAAAGGTAACCTATTACAACAAAATGGTAGAACTAGAAGGACATATTTAAGGGTTGGTTTTTGCAATTTTCTCAACATTTTTTTTAAGGAAAGGGAGAATATAGTAAGTAGTAGATTTTTACAGATTTTAAAATTACATAATTCACCCTTAAGAGTGCATGAGCCTTACTCTTGATAAATACTCTTTTGTTAGTGTGATTATTTGATTAAAAAGGTTATGAATCAAGAGTAAATGGTAAAAATTCTGACCCATGCACTTTTAAAGGGTATTCGTCAAAATTACCCTTAAAACTATGTAAAGAAAATAGCAGTTTACTGTATAAATATGACTAGTAAAATAATTTTTTCTATGTAAATTTTCTTTTTACAATTGACAAAAATATTTCTTTCAACGTATATAAAATTTTTTTACCATGTAAATTATTTTCTATCATTCGTAAATGAAATATTTACATAATAAACTGCTATTTATTTTAAATAATTTTTTAAATCTGCTATTTACTTAATTTAGTTTCAAAAATCAGCTATTTACAACAATTTCCGTTTAGGGTGAAATTAGTTGCCAATGCCGTTGAAATAAAAAAACAATGTATTGCTGCAGAACAAAATTAGTTTGGATCTTTTCAAGTGAATATGTTTTTGAAAAAATTAAGTAATAACATATTTACTGGGAAATAAGTTATTTACCTGGTGTAGATAAATTATTTATATAAACTAAATAAACTATTTACTAATAAATATTATATTTGCCTAAATTATTATAAAATGGGTATTTACTGAAAAAAAATTGTTTCAAATATATGATATTTACTATAATTGCTAAAAACGAATACTAGTAATGTTGAAATATACCAAATAAATTTAGAAATAAAAAAATTAATATCATTAAAATAATTACTACATCATGCGTATGAACACAAATATCATTAAAATAATAACTATGTAATTTTTTGTTATTCCTAAACTATTTCTGAAAAATATAGAAATAAATAACTAAGAAGGCAGAAAATTCTCCCAGGATACATTACACATACTTTTAAACTACAAACATCTTCTAAACGTTGATTGGTATTAAACTAACACTTGTTATAAAGTTTCTATGCAGTAAAACTGATATAAAAAATATTATATCTATTGATGAGTTTTCAATCTAAGCATAGTTAGAATTAAATACGAGTACATAAGTGACAAGCCCTAATTAGCCGTTCAAAGATTCCCTTTATGCACAGAAGTGCCCTTGGAAAAGTACGCCAAGCACAGAGCATAGATGTTGATAGATTTTGTCCTACATATTTGGATCTGCTGTCTTCTTTAATTAATTTCCCTGCTTGTAATTTAATTTAGTGAAAAGCTTTTATATAATCATTTACATACTCCTCTTCCTTGTTACAAGGCTATACGTATTTAAGACCAGCTTGACTGCAATTTGAGGTTTGTGAGGAAATATTAGAATGGCAGAGGATAAAGGTTTAGTTTGTGTCACAGGTGCAACTGGGTTCATTGCCTCATGGCTTATTATGAGGCTTCTTCAACTGGGTTACTCTGTTAGAGCTACTGTTAGATCTCACCCTCCAGGTATAATATATGCGTGTGTATAAATATATAATATATATATATATATATATATACATGTAAACTTTTTTCACCCAAAAAAGTAGACAAAACAAGTTCTTGATAAGGTCATATATTTCAATTAATACATCATAAGTTGTTCAACTTAGGTTGCATGAAATCTCAAATTAAGTCCACTTAGTAAAGACGATCCATATTCTTAAGAGAAATAGTATGATATATGGCGCCAACAAAAAAAAGAAGCGAATATCAATCTTTAATATGTATTTTTTTGACTATTTATTATATGATTTTGTCATAATCTGACATCCAAAAACTTGTACTTTAAGTAGTATTTTCTTTAGGAATTTAAGAACTACTACAAAATTATGACGACACTAAAAACTCGAGAAATCTTGGCCAGGAAGCGTAAAGAAAGACCTCAGCTTCCTGACAAGCCTACCAACAGCAGTAGAGAAGCTCAAAATATTTGAAGCCGATCTCCAACAACCGGACAGTTTCACCACCGTGATTGAAGGTTGCATCGGGGTGTTTCACGTCGCTCACCCCATAATCATAAGCGAACAAGAACCCAAAGATGAGACCATCAAAATGACGGTGGAGGGCACTTTAGGCATACTCAAGGCATGCCTAAATTCCAAGACCGTTAAGCGCGTGGTCTACACGTCCAGCGCGGCGACTGTTTTGTACAGTGGCAAAGGCCAAGGCTTGGTGGATGAAGAGACATGGAGTGACATAAATTACTACAAGACTCTAAACCTTAGAGGAACTAATCTATACATGGCCACCAAAACGAAGACTGAAAAGGCTGCCCTAGAATTCGCGGAGAAACATGGGTTGGATCTTGTCACTGTAATCCCTCCGTTTGTCGTCGGCCCGTTCATTTGCCGCCATCTCCCATCATCGGTCAGATTGGCCCTAACCATGATCTTAGGTACTTAATTTTCCCCAACCATGATATTATTTAGTGCTTGTTTTGTCTTATTGATCATTATTTTTTTATTTTATTTTTTTGCTGATGTTGTTTTGTCTTGTTGATTATTAGTATATATGCAATCTGCGAATTTAATTTTATTTATGGTCATGCCAAGTTAATGTTGACCAGACTTTATTTAAATACTACTAATTAGTGATGTGACGATTGATTTATCGTGTTAATTGGTAAAAGATATTTAAGTTTAGTCATGCATAATTAAAAATGAAGAATTGCACATAACATTAACAAGCCAAATTATTTATCTAAGTTCCTTAATTTAAACAGGTAATAACAAGGATCACTATAAGTATCTTTCCAAGAAATCTATGGTACATGTAGATGACCTTGTTAGTGCACACATATTTCTATTCCAAAGCCCTAATGCAAAAGGAAGGTACATTTGTTCATCAAATAATATATCACTGGAGGAATTGGCTACATTTCTTTCTACAAAATTCCCCAACATCGCAATACCAACTGCAGAGTAAGTGACCTTTCTCTGTTTGTACTATACTCAAATTTTTCCGATATATGTATATATTTTTAGATTTTTATTCCTTTTTTTTTTGCCTATATGATATGTAAAAAAAAAAAAAAAAAAAATCTAACTACTAATTTCTGCAGTTCATTGAAGGACATTGAAGGTTATGCTGAAAAAGGAAGATTATCATCAAAAAAGCTTTTGGATTCGGGATTCGAGTATAAGTATGGCCTTGATGAAATGTTTGATGGAGCGATTAAATCGTGCAAAGAAAAGGGCTTTCTTTAATTTACTTCTGGATCGTATGTCTGTTGTTTTAATTATTATTTTATTGTACTCATCTTTCTATAATGAAGTGTTGGACCACTATTATGATTTCTCTCTCACGTACTAGTAATTGACATGATTATCCAAAAAAAAAAAAAGAAATAATATGAATATTGAAATGAAATAAAAGCATAATTAGGGAAATTTATATTTGCTAAATGATTGCCGAGCATTTCTATTTGACTCATGAAGGAAATATAATACGATATTTTTCAATAGAATATTTGCAACTCCCCCTAAAAAAAATAATATTTGCAAATCTATTCAAATGAAAGTTTGTGTATTATATTTGCATTATATTGTAAATGGGGCAACATCACATGGATACCCATGATCGGACTCTATCCTTTAATTATGTATAAGGTGTCCATACAGGATATAATTAATGGCTGCAGTTTAAATAATGCTTCATAATCGGTGAAAAAAATTGGGTATTTTATTTGGATAAGATTCCGTGGTTGTCTGTTTTCATTTAGAATGAAATGATTTTATCCTTAAATAATGGATGATTATATAGTAGAAACACTTACACATTATGAATATATTGAACTAGACCACAATAACATAATTGATTCTCTTGTATTTTTCGTTAAAAGAACCTTTATATTCTATCAATGATGGTTATATATGAAATGATCTTAAATAATGAATGAAAAGAGCTTAATTGCCAAAAAATTAAGAAACTAACAGTTTATTTTGTTAAAATTAGAAAAAAAGAGGGACCAAAATGTCATCTATGAAAAAGTACTTGAGGGACCACCTATGCAAATTACTAAATAATATATAACTAATAAATACAATAGAAATTATAATATGTATGTCATGCACATCTCTCCTTTTATAGTTATAATTAGGTTTATTTTTCAATATGAGATCCTCAAATTCTTTAACTTTTGATATTTGGATCTCTATTTTTGAAAGTTGGACAACTGGATCTTCAGATTCCTATTTTCTTAGCACTTGGGTCTCCTTTTTGAAAATTTAAACAGTTGGAGTTCAAAATTATTTTCTTGTTCCTCAAGTCACATAAACTTATTTATTTATTTTTCACTAAAACAAAAGGCTTTTTATCTTTGACATTATTGATTAAGTAAATGGAAAGTATGGAGCCGGCTAAAAGAATTCAATTCTGCATTAGATATATAATTGGTTAACTTTATCACTACTAATTCGACCCATGAAATTTAAATTCACTAAATCAATAAATAAGAAAAATCAAGTGAGTTTTGGGGTTGTTTTCTCACTCATGACTAAAATCTCTAGCAGTCAACATGTTGTAACCTGTAATATGCTCTCATGATTATCATCTCTAGAGCATTGATACTGTTAAAATGACTGAAAGTTTTTAAATATTCATTTCATTACTTTTGATTTTGCTGTCTAATTAATTACAATTTTAAAATGGGATTCAAGTTTTAAGAAAATTGGAGTTTGAAAACCCAATTTTCTTATAAACTTCTAAAATCGGGACCCAAATGTCAAGAAAATGAGAGTTTGGGACCCTATTGTTTTAATTTTCAAAAAGAGAATCCAAGAACCAAAAGGTCAAAAGCCTTAGGGAAGGTGCAAATAACCCATATCTATTCCTATCTCCTAAGTGAGAATCCGTTTTTTCAGAAGGTGGGCGTTTTGTTGCCCTCTGTAACTAAGCTATTTGTAATTCATTCACCAAATGGGCCAGGCCAGCAATTCCATAAGCTTATCCCTTGCATTGCAGGGGCCTTGGAAACGACGCATAAAATATGAATGTTCACGGAATACTTTAATCTTGTTTTGTTTTGTTTTTTTGTCTCTCTCTTCTTGACAATTTAGTGAATTAGGTTTATCCAACTCCTAGACAACATACTTAAGTAGGAAACATATTGTGCAATGTGACACTGTAATATTGATCATTAAAATTTATATGGCAGAGGAGATTAATAAGGGTTCAGTTTGTGTAACAGGCGCAACTGGCTTCATTGCAACATGGCTGATCATGAGGCTTCTTCAACAGGGCTACTCCGTTAGAGCTACCGTTAGATCTCATCCTCCAGGTATTTTTGTTAATTTCCTTTAATATTCATGTGATTCAAAAACCACACAAATTAATTAGTCAAAATTACGTTTTATATCTTGAATCAAGATCTGCTCTCCCGTATTCCTTTCTCAATGGTTGTCCCTTCAATTAAATTTTGACAACTCGTAATTTGCTTAAGATTTTTAAATTTAAATGAGATGTCAAATAACAAGTGAAGAAACAGCCACTGAGACAGGAAAACAGAAACAACAGATTTAGACTCTTAAGGGCCATGATATATACACGCACACACACACACACACACACACACACACATATATATATAAACATATATACACATGCATACATACATAGATCATCAGTTTCCAAATAATAATCTCAGTTACTATGCTTCTTGGATGTGATTATCTATGAGAAATTTCAGAATTCACTCTCCAATTTTAGTGTGCAGGACCAAAGTGATCAAAAATAAAAAAATTAGAGAATAATTTATCAAAATTAAAAATTTAGGGATCAAAATGAATAGTACACATAATTCAGGGACTATAATTGTGACG